TCGTAATAAAAATAACTTTAGATTTGACACGTATTTAACCAATAAAAAAAAAAAAAAAAAAAATTCAATTGAAAACCGCTACCATCATCATCATCATCACCACCATTCTTCCTCATTCTTTCTTCGCTCCCTTATTAAATGAGCATGACAGATTATTTCATATAAGAAAAAAAAAATACGCTATAAAATGCCTTACGCTACAATCAATTGACATTTATCTTGGGGCTTTTTAAAACTTATAAACGGTTCGAAAAGTCTCTCTCTACTTTTTGTGGAGAAAAAAAAAAAAAAAAAACGATCTTTTTATATTGACCCAAGGGTTCATTCATTACTTGTGATGATGATGATAATAATAATAATAATAACAATAATAATGATGATGCTGATGATTGAAATATTTAATTACTAATACGTATCAACTCCCCGTTATTGCTTATTTTCCTTTCTTTTTCCATACATACACGAAAATTATTATTATTATTTTTTTTATATAAAAACATTAACCACGTTCGCAATTACCAAGATGGAGGTTTTTTCTTTCTTTCAAATAATAATAATAATATTACCGTTTTTTTTTGTTGAAATTATCAGACGGTTTTGGTAGTCAGACGAAAGACTACTCGTTATTATTATTATAAAAAAAAAAAAATTTCCAAATATGAGTACGAAAAAAAAATTAAAAAAACAAAAAAAAAATGACCTTCGCAAAAGCTTAGAAAGTAAACCTTTTATTCATATTTTAATTAATAATAATAATGATAAAATTTTTTAAAGGCCATCGCCATCGCCATCATCATCATCATCATCATTACCATGTTTTTGTGTTTCGCGCAAAATCTTTTTCACCAAACAAACAAACCAAAGAAAAAAAAAATAAAAAAATAATTTTACCTTTCAGCTTCGCAACACCAAAAGAAAAAAATAGGAAAAAAAAAACGTCGTGGAATTAATAATCCCATTCAAAAAAGCCGCAACATTTTGTTGTTTTCAAAAAAAAAAAAAATTTAACAACATAACATGTTTTTAATAAGAAAATTTTTAAAAAAACCGTACAACAAAAATCGTAATTATTTAAAATAAAAAGAAAAGAAAAAAGAAAATGGCAGAAGTGGTAGTAATAATAATAATAATTCAATTCAATTCAACAACAACAACAAACACAAACTGAGAACCTCACTTAAACCCTGGCAGCCGGCAACTAACTAACTAACTAACGGATGGTAGGCCACTACTACAAACGAATAAAACATCTACTGCGGAATCAACTTTTTTTCTTTTTCTATAGCGAAACCCGACTTGGCTCCTCTCCTGCCACGATAACAACAACGTTCCATAACCCGCATTACTTATTTTTAAAATACGTATATATTTTTCTTATTCGAATATATACGAATTTATTTATTTATTTATTTTTTTGTTAATTCCACGTTCGGAAAATTTTCACGTATTGCCAACCTAATTAATTATTAAAATTCAAACGAAAAAAACGCTAGTTTCTATAAAATATCCCCAATATTATTATTGACAAATTATAACAAAAATTAAAGAGAAAGAGAGAGACGGAGAGAGAAAATTTTCAAAATCTTTTCTTGTGACCCGACGAGGAGGTAATTTTATAAAAAATTTTAAAAATGATACCTTGGGGCTTTTGCAAGCAAAACTCAATTGACGAATATTTGGAAAAAAAAAAAAACTAGAAAGGAATTTCGTGTGTTTGTGCGTGCGTGTGTGTGTGTATGCGTGCGTCAATTATATATCTACCAATTATCCAGAATTATAAGAAGGAAAGAAAAAAAAGAAAAAAATAGGCAAGGTCATTGGCAACTTCTGGAAATAAGCAATTTTTCTCGATGTAATTATCCCAGAACATAGATTTGTTTAAGTAAACTCAAGTGGTAATAATAATAATAATAATAATGATACTGATAATAATGATAATAATAAAACCAGTGCAATAAAAAACGTTACGTTCCGTCTGTGTGTTTATAGTGATAAATAAAAAATTTAAAAGTCCCAGAAATCAAGTAAAATTTTTTTTTTCTTTTTCTTTTTCTCTCGTTCGTTCGTTCCACGACTTTTTTTTTCCCTTTTCCTTTTCCCTCTTTTTAATTGAACAAAAATCTTAATGATAACGAATCGAGTTCTTTTTTTTCTTTTTGTGGAAGGAAACGAATAAGAAAAAAAAACGAGAGATAATTAGAAGTTATGAATAGAAAAAAATAATAATAATAATAACAATTAATGAAAAAAAGCCCTGACACGATGATGCCATTGTTTTCATTTCAAATTATTCTCAACACAATTAAATAAAAAATAATCGCGCAAGTTCCACGTTTTATAAATTCCACGTCGAAATCAAATTTTGCCATTTGCAGAAAATATATCAACAAAAAAAAAAAAAAAATTTGACCGCAACTTTCTGGCCAGCAAAAATTATTATTATTGTTGTTATTATTATTATTGTTTAAAAAAAAAAAAAAAAGATTGTATTTGCTACCTGATACCAACAAAGCTTTGTTTTTTTTTTTTTCTTTTTTTTCAAGGTCCATCTCAAAGAAAAATAATATAATATATAAATTTTAATGTTGGGTTCTTACTACTACCACTACTACTGTTTTTTTGTTCAATGTTATCGATGGCGAAAAAAAAAAACAAAAGAACGCCTTTAACAAAGAATAACAAAAAAGAAAAAAGAAAACTAAATTCGAATACGATAAAAATAACCGAAAAATTAAAAATAAATAAACAGAAAACATAAAACAAAATTTTCAAGAACGAAAACGATCGCGCCTAAACGAAATTTTATTTTTTATTTTTTTATTTTTTAGGTGAATGTTTTTTAAACTTTTTATTTTTAAAATAACCTAAATTACAAAAAAAAAAAAAAGGCATCGGTCAAGAACGTAGCTCGTAGGCGTTTTTTTATAACTTTAAAAAAAGTAACAAAAAAATATGGCGAAACGTAAACAGTAATGGCGTTAATACACGCCATTACGATTTTGGTCGATATGAGCGACACCTATGCGAAAACATACAAAACCAGTTTGTGAAAGTAATCGTCGTGTTAGTTTTTCGTTACGCTCAAAGATGGTGAGACCGTCGGAATAAAAAAAATTTTCTTTTAACCAAAGTAAATCACTAATTTTCATTTCGATTATTTTTTTTTTTTTTTTTAAATTTTCATTAAAAATGTCATAAAAATATTTTTTTGTCTCCGATATTATAAACTTTTCTTTTGAGAATATGATACATTTAAATAAATTTTACTTTTCATAAAGATAATACTTAATTCGGTCAAGGTTTCAAAGGCAAAACTTTTTCGCAAATGCATTCATTCTGATACGTATATTAATACGACGTAATAATTCAATACAAAAATCAATACTTGGCAAAATCCTGACTGACTGACTGACAAATAATCAAAACATTCTACAAATTATTATTATTATTATTTGTTTATATTGGGTTGGCCAATAAGTAACTGCGGATTTTACCAACAGATAGTTTGTTTATTTTTTTGAGTACGTTTACGTTTTTGTACAGACATGAACTTTTGATATGTTATTACTTGGTTCCTTCTGTAACATTCGGTACCAAAATTTCATTGAACTCTTAAATAGTACGCGAGCAAAAGATACTTAAACATGGGGAGCCAGAGCGAGCATTTCCTCCACATTTTACTTTTTTATTTTTGAAAGGGTATTAATGCTTCCCAGGCCAATAAAAAGTTGTGGGTCGTGTAGGGTGATGAAGCCTTAACAGAACGGCAGTGTCAAAACTGGTTTGCGAAATTCCGTTCTGGAGATTTTTCTTTGCAAAATGAGGAGCGCTCCGGGCGCCAATTGGAGGTTAAAGATGAGCAAATAAAGGCCCTCATTGATTATGATCGGTATAGTTCGACGAAGGACATTGTAAAGAAGCTAGATGTGTCACATACGTGCGTCAAAAACCGTCTGCGGCGTCTTGGGTGCCAAAAGAAGCTTGATGCGTTACTTTGGGGAACGTTAGTTAACGAGGCGACTTGGTCTTTGCGATATGCTTCTTAAACGCAATGCAAATGACCCTTTTTTGAAAGAATGGTCACCGGAGATGAAAAGTGGGTTGTCTATGATGACTTTTTGAGAAAAAGATCCTGGTTTAGGCAAGGAAACAGGCACCAACAACTTCTAAGACTGACATTCACCAAAAAAAGGTATTGTTATCATTTTGGTGGGATTACAAAGGCATAGTCAACTTTGAGCTGCTGCCACGATGTCAGACCATAAATTCATAGGTTTACATTCGACAATTGACTAATTTAAGTGATACCATCCAAGAAAAACGACCGGAACTAGCCAATAGCAAAGGAATTGTCTTTCACCACCATAATGCCAGGCCCTCTCTAACTTTAGCCACTGGACAAAAACTACTGGAGCTAGGCTGGAATGTTTTGCTGCACCCTCCATATAGTCCCAAACTAGCTCCAAATAATTATCATTTTTTCCGATTCCTAAAAAATTTTTTAAACGGACAAAAATTCCAAAACGACGATGAGGTCAAAACTGCATTGGAGCAGTTTTTTGCTCCTAAAACTAAAGAGTTGTATGAAAAAAGGAAAATGATACTACCCGAAAAATGTCAAAAGGTCACTAATAATAATAAACATAATATAATAGATAAAAATAATTTGACATAATTAATAAATCGTTTTTTGTTTTCTTAAAAAATTCGTAAATATCTTTTTGCCAACCCAATAAATTTATAATCGTATTACGAGTGACCGAAAAGTGTGTGTGTTCCAAAAAAAAAAAAAATTATTATTTAAATACATAAATGATTTACGTACGATTCGTTTTCTGATTTAAAAAAAAAAAAAAAAAAAAACCTAAAAATCAGGTCGCGACCCATAGGTACAAAAAAAAAAAAAAAAATTGCTTAGTTTCGTACATTTTATCGATATACCACCGCCACTACCACCACCACCACCACCACCTCAGAGGCTTTGACCTCAAAATAATTTCTTAGTTATCGTAATTCAACCAGTTAAAATTCTTCATCTAAATATGAAAAAAACAACAACAACAATTAAATACCTCGAGTCTTTCGAAACGTGGCTCGAGACCCCTCCTCTCCCCTTTCCTTCCCCCCCGAAAAAAAAATATTCCAAAAAGATAAAGCTTACCATGTGTTCTTTCCTTTTCATTTCGAGTTCGACTTTGGTCCATCCAGTTTGAAAAGTTAACGGTTTTAATTTTGCATCGAGGTCTCTCAACCACCTTCTGAGACATTTAACTTCGTGTTCTAATTTTTCCCCAGAACCCATTTGATGTTTTTTATTAATTTCATCTTTTTTCGATATTCCCACGAGCGTCTCGACGGTAACCCATTTATCGTTGACGTGTTTCGTCAACCAAGAGACTTCACCCTCTAATTCGGGATACAAATTAATGAGTTTATTCGATTGATCGTTGAATGTTTCGAGACGAAATCTTTGCCTTTGCAAATCCTCTTGCCTCTCCTAAAACAACAAAATACAGTTCAAAATCAAATTAATAATAATAATAATAACAATAATATACACTTTTTTTCTTTTCTTTCAAAAGGTTCGCGATATGTTTGAAAATTTACTCATTATTAAAACTTCACGTTTGCATTCCAATGTTTATTTGCATTCCCCCTCCTCTCCTCTCCCCTCCCCCCCGAGTGCTTAAAAAAAAAAACATTCTTATTGAATTTATAACAACCATATTGTTTTTTTTTTTTTTTTCAATGAATCGACAAACCGAGGTTGTTGCTCTGAAGAAACTTTTTTTTTTTATACCTTGTTAAAAACAAAACGAAAGAATTTTTTCGTGATAAAAAGGTTAAAAGGTTACGGATTATAATCAAAGTCATCGCTAATTATTATTTATTTACCTTTAAATATGTTTTTCTTTTTTAAATCAGTAGCCATTATCAAAAGCATAAAAACAAAGGATTTCGCGTGCGTTGTTATTTACTTCTGATAAACTTTTTTTTTCTTTTAATTATAGAAATTTTCATTAAACCTTTTGTGAATCGCATAATCGATAAATTATCGTTAAAAATTTAAACAATATACTTTGATCTAAGCACACACACTCTTTTAAAGGTATAGTCTTCAATGTCAACCACTTTTTTTCTTTTTTTCTAAACATTCAATTAACGTGGGAGTTATATTGGATAAGTCAAATTGCAATCGATATTACCAATCCTCGCAAAAAAAAAAAAACCAGAATAAATAAATAAATAAATAAAAATCCACCATTTTAACGCAAAAATTATATCATATAATAATCATTCAAGGATATTATTTTCATCGATTTGCATCGATCGACAACGTTTCGCCATTTTTTTTTTCCTCTTAAAATCACATTTGAAAACAAATCACGTAAAAAATAAACCCAGCCAATAAATATTATCGAGAATAAAATTCATTTAATCAAAGAATGAATGATTTCTGTCAGTTTAAAAGAAAAATAATAATAATAATTTTATTGTGTATAATTATTTATTATTATTCGAAACCTAAATGTCATCGCGACATACTTTATTTATTTATTTTTACAATTCATTGTAACAGATTTTAACGTAGAATAAATTTTAATACAATGGCTGAGAAACGTTTAATAAAATTATAAAAAAACAATCGGAAATATTTAATTTGTATGAAAATAATATTTAAACTTGTAAACTATGAATGGTTGTAAAAAAAAAAAAAAAGAAATTGACCTTTTATAGAAAGTCATCATCATCATCATCATGTGAATACAAACAAACAAGAAGAACAAGAAGAAAAAAAAAATTATTAATTTCAATTTAAAAATATTGAACACCTTTTTTTTAAATGAATAATAATGATAATAATAAAAGGATTAAAAATCAACTCAAATGATTAATAAAAAAATTTGTTTTTTTTTTTTTTTAATAATTGAAACGTGCATTACGTAATAACGTTTTCAAAAAAAAAATATGGCAGACGATAGCAAAATGCGAGGATATTCAAAGTTTATTAAAAAAAATTTAACGGCTGGACAACGTCCAAAAAAAAAAAAAACAACAAACGTGCTCTTAAACCTCTGATACTCATTCGATCATAATAATAATAATAATAATACTATTAACAACAACTATAATTAAAAGTATTTTATTACAATAATAATAATTAACTTTCCAAGGTTAATAGTAATTTTAATTTCATTTCCCTTTTTTCTATTCTCTCTCTCTCTCTTTCTCTATTTCGATAAAAATTTCAAAGGTTTATGAATGAGAAGAAGAAATTGAATGAACAACAACAACAACAACAAAATGGTTGTTTCAAAAAACGTTTCATTCACGTGAATAACAACAACAAAGAAACTTACAGCTCGCAATTTCCAATCCGTGACATTTTCATGATTTCCATACACCACATCCTGTATGCTTTTGAGCCAAGAGTAGAGTTGAGCAAAATGATCCATAAACTCCGAGTGACTCCATAAAATCGGAGTCGTCGGAGTCGAACCGGAAATTTTTTCCATTGACATTTCCGAAAATGTTTTTTCCAAAATGTTTTGAGCCATGAGGTAATCGTAATCCGCTTGAAAACCTTCCCAATTTTCTCTTCCATCTTGACTTATCACGCTTCCCCACGATTTTCTCCATGATTCCTTATCTTGTTCGTTGTTGTTCTTTCTGTAAATTAATAATAATAATAATAATAATAATATCATCCGGTTTCTTCTTTTTTTAACTCATTCTCTAAAAGAAAATGGTGAAAAGAAGCGAAAACAATTTTTTTTTTTTTTTTTTTGATAAAAGAATATCGAAAACGTGGTGTTGGCAAAGTATTCATTATCCGGTCGTGAGATTTTGTAACAAAGCGTACGTGCCAAGGTATAAAAATGAGAAATTAAGAGGAAGCCTTTTGAAAAAATATACTGAAACTCATCGAGATTCCATTTTTTTTTAAAGAAACTTTAGTGAATTCCCAACAACAACAACAACATCCGAAGCCATTTTGTTTTTTGTTTTTTTTTTTTTTTTGTAATTAAATTATGCGTCTCACAATCGAAATCGTAAAGGTTATATATAATATTTAAAACGGATTCATTATTATTTAACCATCTTTTCTTTTTTTAAATAAAATAATAGATTAACTTTCGCACGATCGTAAAAAAAAAAAAAAAAAAAAAAAAAAAAAAAAACCGCAATTAAAAAAATTTTTCCTTTATTCTATTCTTCTTCTTCTTTTTCATATAACAAAAAAAATTTTTTTTTTTTTTAAATTTCCATTTTCATTTTACAAAACAAAATAAATCAAAATGATAACATTATCATTATCATTCATTTTTTTTATTGCAAAAAACTTACTTTTCCTCCGTCTTCTTATTGATTTTTTTTTTAATTTTTTCCCCCCTTTAGGCCATTTTTTTTTTCAAATTTACTGTAATTATCTTGTTTTAAATATCTCCTTGTTTTGTACATCTCAATGGCTTTGTTTAACGACCTAATAATAATAATAATAATATTCAAAGCCCGAATGTCACGGTCTACCGGTTAAAAATAAAACAAATTTTTCGTTTTCATTTAAATGAGTATTTTTTTTTTTTGAAAATATAACGAAAAATGACTTTTTCAATATGAAATCAAAAACCTTAGTAGTTTTTTAACTCAAAACTTTTGTACATTTTTTTTTTTAGGTATACAAATTTTCGTAATTTCATAAATAATAAAAAAAAATGAAATAACCTAACCACATAATCTCATCATTCACGTTATGATCCATTGAACAGTTATTATTTTCCCGTTACCTAATACCTAACGCCAAAATCATTTTCAAACTTTAATTTTTTTTTTTTTTTTTTTTTTTACTAATGGAACATTACGTTCAGTGTAAAATCGATGAATTTTTCGAATACGAAAAAATTTATATCGAATATTTTTTTTCTTTTTGTTGGATTTTTTTTTACCCAGACGATTCTATTGCAATTAAATAAATAAAAATCACAAGAAATAAAAAAAAAAAAAAATTTCTGCAAAGTTAAAATTAAATCTGTTAAAGTTTGCAAAGTACCCGACGACAATCTCTCAACAGCAAGGGGACAAAAAACAAAAATAATAATAATAATAATAATAATTCAAACACGTTTTCAACATTATAAAACCATCTATCTATCCGAACTCGTAGTTCAAAAAAAAAAAAAAGATCATTAGAGTATTTTTTCAGGAGAGAGAGAGAGAGAGAGAGAGAGAGAGAGAGAAACAACTCGTTTCCCTTGGGTGGTCAATTCTTCTCCTCCTTCCTTCCTTCCCAACATCGATCGAATAATAATAAAAAATTTATTATTTTTTAAACGTGTCGTTATAAAAAATTGAAATTTGTTATCATTTACGAAAGCTTTTTTTTTGTTTTTCTAAAAACTGACAAACAATTTTCCCTTCCGATTATCATCGGGGGGGGAAAAAAAAAAAAATCGAAACGGATTATCGAGGGCCCCCACGAATCTTTTTTTTTTTTTTTTTTTTTTTACGCTCCAACAGAAAATTATCAAATCAAGTGCAATGGCTTTCCGTGACCTTTAATGAGGGCATTTTGAAAAACTTATTAGAACTCCAACATTAGAACAACATATTTTTTTTGCAAATTATACAACTCGTGATTTTATTTACTCCATTCTTATTCTTATATATTAACATAAAGTGATAATAAAGTCAAAACAAACAACAAAAACAAACAGTTTTTTTTAAACTCTTCCGCGTTACCTACCCATCGACCTGTTTTTTTGTTTTATGTTCGTACCTAACACAAAAAACCCATTTAAAACTTTTAGGAAAATGCGAACGTTTCGGTTTTTATTACGCTACCTTTTCCAAAAAAAACATTTAAACATTTTTTTTTTATAAAAAATTAAATTTGTACCAACGTTTCCTACACGCCTATTTAATTGCCATTCAATGAATTTAATCATCAGTTACTCCATTTTTTTTTTTTTTTTTTCGAATTAAATAAATAAATAATTGTTTTTCGAACAATTAAAAATTTGCGTACTCACAAGTCTTCTCCTTTTCTACGTACAATAATCGTGCTTGAATTAACGGACATATTTAACCGGATGCGAGAAAGAGGAAGAAAAACAAACAAACAAACAAACACTTTACATTTCGAAGCAATCGAATTTATTTTAATTACGTCAGTTAAAGACGGAAGAAAAAAGAATGAAGAATGAAAGCAACGCTAACAGAAACTAACTAAATAATATCCAACGGGAATAACAATTAAATTAAAAAAAAAAAAAAAGAAAAGAAAAATTAGCTCCTCATTAACAACTCTTTATAAAAAAAAAATTGTCGTTAAATATGGCGGAGAAAAAAATAATTAATAATTAATAATAATCACCTGGATTTCTTCGTCAAACTGTGATAAAGTCTTTCCGTTTTCAATCTGTTTTGCGTTCCGTGATCGGGACTCTCGGATGGCGTGAAAGACCGAAGAGAAGTCAATGAAAAACTCGATTTTAATTTTGAATTACTCGTACCTGAAATTAATTAAATTATAATTTTAATTTATTATCATTATTATTATTATCGATACTTGATCGAATCGCTTAAAAGAAATAATATTAATAAGTTATTCATTCGATTTTCGTCTTTATGTTCCGGAACTGATTCATGCGAATAATATATATATTCAGTCAACTGCCCACGTTTATCGGACAATACCACCACGACCACCACCACGCTCAACCGGAAATGGTTAAGAAAATCCTTTGCAAAATATTTTTCCTATAATGATGATGTTATAATAAACTCGTCGCGCATATGAAATAAAATTTAGTCATTCGTCGTCTCTCTCTCTATTCGCATTATTATTATTATCATTATTGCGAATTTCCCATTCGGTTCGAAGATCGGCAAAGTAATAGCAGTAGTAGTAGTAGTAATAATAATAATAATAATTGCTCGGTAATTTTCTTCGGGATAAAAAAAAAAAAAATTAAAAAATTAATTTTTTGAGTAAAACAAATAATAGCAAATGCGACGGAGGTCAAAGTTCAACAGTATTTAATGCATAAATAATTAAATTTAATGATTTTACATGATTTTTTTCTCTCTCTCTCTCTCTCTCTCACTCCTTCTCTATCTTTTTTTGTCCCAGAATTTTTGTATCGAATTATTTTCTTAATGCCTTTTTATAAGCTATATTCTTCGCGATTCTTTTTCCTTATAATTCTATTTAAAAAAAAAAAAAAAAAATTTCCACGCTCAACATTTTTCTTTTAATAATAAGACAAAAAAAAATAAATAAATAAATTCTTTTGAACAAAAATAACTTTTTTCAAAACGTTTTTTTTTTTTTTTAAATTTAATGTAAACTCATTAAAAAATTAAATTTAAAAGCTTTCGAACGCTTTTTCCGGTGATAAAATTTTCAAAAGCTAAAAGCCCAGACAGCCGAAATAAAAAAAAAAAAAAAAAACGTGATCCAACAGTTAGTTATTTTTAATTTTCAAACCTCGAAAAAAAAAAATTATTATTATTATTATTATCGTCAATTTTTAATACGTTTATTAATTAATAAATTAATACTACGTGACGTTAATTAATAATACTTATTAAATTTCGCACTCGAGCTTATTTAAAAGGAAAAAATTTTTTTATTTATTTTGTCAATCAATCATTTTATTTAACGGTACATCTTTTAAGAATTCCCATCTGACCAAAATTCTTCTATTTCCACGTTATAAAATATTTAAACTTTGCGTCGGATTATGTCAAAATGACGACGACGAAAAAACCGATATTTCAACTAAATTTACCCCAACCCTCCCCCTCCCCAATCAATCGATTATTTTTTAAACTACCGTGAGTTATGAAGTTATGAAAAAAAAAAAAAAAAAAAAAAAAATTCGGTTCGAAATAATTTTATTTGGATATATATTCGCCTCAAACCCAATCATAAAAGTTTTTTTGTTTTTCGAAAATTATCCGCGTTTCGATTCGAATCCACTCGAAAATCGGCAATAAACCGTTTCCCCCTCCCCCCAATCTAATTTTAGGGAGCATCGACAACAAAATTACTTCTTTTTTTGAAATACGAATAAGACGAGTTTTTTTAAAATTCGCATTCACTCATTTGTGGAAAAAACAATTCCAAAATATTGAAAAAAAAAAAAAAAAAAAAAACTAATGAAACTTTAAAGGGTGTGGGTGGGGTGGTGGTGGGGGGTGGGGTAAAAGAATGTAGGGACTTACCGACTGGCATTTTAACAATATCCAAAACCAATTCCGTGTCCGAAAAGCTGGGTCGCCGTTGAAATTTATTCTCAATTATATATTTCAGTCTTTCATTTGTACTAAATGGCACATGGTTATTACAGGTCCGACAACAATATTTATCCTTATTATTAATTTTTCCTCCCCTTTTCCTGTTGAAAACGATAAACTCTCTCTCACTCCTGATTCGATCAGAATTATTTTTTCTTTGGAAAAAAAATTTTTTTTTTTTTTTTTGGAATGTGTTAGCGTGTAATTATTGAATGTTTTTCTCGGATGCTGATGCTGGAGCTGGAGCTGGTGCTGGTGCTGCTGTGATGACACAGCTGCCTTTTTGGATGTGCATCGTTCCTTCGACAGCTGAAATTATATTTAAAAAAATTTTAATAAAAAAAATTAATAATTTTCTCGCATCGGAGTTTTTCTCATACCGGAAACTGAATTTTTTAGTTTTTTT